TTTTTTTTGGAGAGGTTTTTGCTACAGGGTGCGTGTGCTCGCCAGGAAGACAGACAGAGAGACAGCAAGAAATCATCCCCAGGGGAGATGGCCACACTGATCCCTTCTCCTCCATTCTCTTCTTGGGATCTTGGGCACACAAATCCTGGAATGATTTTCAAGCCACTGGGTCTGGCACTTAAATCATAAAGTAGACCATGTGGGGTCCAGCCACCTCAACTACCATGCTACCTGCTGGCCCAACAAATAGGACATTTTATGATAGACGATCTGTTTTTTTTTTGGAGAGGTTTTTGCTATAGGGCGCATGCATTCTCCAGAGAGACAGAAAGAGAAATCACCCCCCCTGGGGAATGGCCACGCCGCAATCCCTTCTCCTCCAATCTCCTCTTGGGATCTTGGGCACGCACTCACACACGCCCAGCTTGATTTTAAGCCACCAGGTCTGGTCAAACCATGGTCTGCCACATGGGAGTCTAGCACCCTAACCACCACACCATCCACTGGCCCCCAGATTTTCTTATATTTCAACTAAAATAACAATGCAGAGCAGCGATGAGATCCCAACTGTCTTGGGCCAAGGCCCAAGCCAGGACTTGGCAATTTCTTAAGTGTCTTGAAAAAGATACTTTTTTTAAGAGAGCTTTTTGCTATAGAGCATGTGTGCCCATCAGAGAGATAAGAGAGAGACAGAAATCACCCCCGGGGGTGGCCACGCTGCAACCCCTTATCCACTCTCGAGATTTTGGGCACCGACACACACGCCCCCAGCATGAGTTTTAGGTCTCCAGATCTGGGCCTTGACCCGTGGTTGGCCATGTGGGAGTCCGGCGGCGTAACCATTGTGGCATCTGATCCCAAAGACATGGTCCTTCTATTCCTCTGTTCCGGTCTAGTACTCTGGGTGGTGACAGAGATAGCCCAGTACATGAAAGCGCTCCGGTACACTCGGGTCGGGAGTCCCTGAGTTGGGTGAGGCGGGTACCCATTTTCTCCTTAGTCTTAGATGCAGAGCTTGAGCTGAGACCAGGCCTCTTGGAATCAGAACCCGTCTTCTTTTGGTTCCTCTCTCCGCCTCCCTTTTCATCACACTCTACTTTTGGGGGAGAATGGAGGCTGAGAACTGGTCACCCTGGTGTGTCCACCTTGGCTGTGGGCACCATCCGCGTCTGGGGAACCTCCGTCCTCGCCGGCCTCCCCTATGGCCTCTCAGATCCTGAGACTGTACCGGAACACAGGTGCCCCTTTCCGAGGAGCAGCCTATCAGCCGGCGTGGAAGGGGCAGCACTGTGCTGACTTGAGGTCAGCGGGCCACCGAGGCGCCACGTGGCTCTGAGGCCTGTGCAGCTGCGGGAGAGCCGAGGGCGCGGTCCCATGGCCTGCCTAGGCTGACCGCACCCTGCGAAGGTCCCCTGGACTGCCTTCCGGGATCAAGGGCTGAGGGGTCAGGAAGTGTCGCGGAGTGGAGGTCAGGCTGCTCTTTTCCACACCTGGAGCTCAAGGCCATGGAGCTGCTCAGTGAGGCAGTGGGTGTAGACCGGTCATCCACAAGGCCTCATGGTCACATGTCACACCTCCCGCCAGCGTCACGTGCGCCTGTGTGTCCTGTCCCCAGGCACCTCCTGATGGCCCAGCAGACCCTGAGGGCTGTGCCACCCATCGTGTTTGTCCAGGACCGGGAGAGCGCAGCCCAGGCCGAGGTGAGGCTCTTACTGTTAGTCACCACTTTCAGTTTTTTGCCATAGCACGCTTGCCAGAGAGAGTCAGTGAGACAGAAGTGGGCATTCACCCCCGGGGAAAAGCCACGCCACAGCCCCTTCTCCGTGCTCCTCTCGTGATCTTGGGCACATGCACACGCACCTGGCATGATTTTCAAACCGCGAGGTCTGGAACTCAGATCGTGGTCAGCCATGTGGGTACCAAACGCCTTTACCACTGTGCACCTGCTGGCTCTTGAGGTAAGTTTTCAAATCATTGACTTTATCTGACTCATTTATTTATTTATTTATTAGAGAGATTTTTGCTATAGGGTGTGTGTGCTTCCTGGAGAGACAGAGAAGAGAGATCACTTCCGGGGGCGGGGGGTGGCCATGCCACAATCCCTCTCCTCCACGCTCCTCTCGAGATCTTCGGCACTAACACACATGTGCTCAGCATCAGTTTTAGGCTGCTGGATCTGGGACTCGAACCGTGGTTGACTGGGAGTTCAGCAACATAATCTGCCATCTGCTGGTTCCTGACTTTTTAATGTTTTGAATTGATTGTCAGGGGGAGGTAGAGAGTATGTACTCACACACATGTATTTTCAAGGGGCTGGGGCAGGATTCGAACTGTGATTGCCACGTGGGTTTTGGTTCCCTCTGCCCCACCCTTCTTAATCACTGTGCTGTTATGGGGCCAGCCCCAAACAGTTAACTGCTTATGTCATGGACTCATATAAGTAAACATTTAAATTTAAGGGCCAGCAGATGGCATAGCGGTTACATCACTGGACTCCCACATGGCCAACCGTGGTTCGAGCCCTGGGCCCAGTGGCTTGAAACTTAATGCCAGGCACGTGTGTGTGCGCCCAAGATCCTAGGAGAAGGGATTGCGGTGTGGCCATCCTCTCTGGGGGGTCATTTCTCACTTTCCCTCTTACTACCTCTGTCTCTATCTCTGGTGAGCACATGTGCCTTAGGGCAAAAACCTCTAAAAACAAAAAAGTCACACGTTTGGG